AAGTTCAAAGGAGTTAAATGAGGCAGAATCCTTTTTAGTAAGAGAGGTTCACAAAAGGGAGTTTTTATTCAGATTACAACTCCCTCGCACAAGGTAAACCCATTAATAATAAAAGTAATTTACTTTCTTTGAACCCTTTTTTGGATGCAAATAATGTAATGAGAGTAGGAGGCCGATTACAAGGGGGCAATGTAATGTTTTCACAAAAACATCAAATAATTTTGCCTGTTAAATGCAAACTAACTAAGATGATTGCTGAGCATTATCATCGGAAATATTTTACACGTAGGTTCGCAAGCATTATTGTGTTTTATGAGACAGAAATTTTGGCCATTACAAGGTAGGAATTTAACTAGAAAGATTACCCATGAATGTATAATTTGTAGTAAAAATAAACCAGTCACTATCGAACAAATTATGGGGTCATTACCTGCAGAGCGCGTAAATCCAAGCTCACCCTTTAATCATGTCGGCACCGATTTTTGCGGTCCATTTTTTTATTAGGTACAAGGGACAGAGGAAAGGAACTCTTCATAAGGTATATTTAGCTCTTTTCATTTGCCTTATAACAAAGGCAGTGCATCTCGAACTAGTGAGTGATCTCACCACTGACGCATTTATTGCCACCTTAAAGAGATTTATTGCTAGGCACGGAAAATGCTCAATCATTTTCTCAGACAACGCAAAAAACTTCGTTGGCGCAAATGCCGAATTGCAAAGAATTAACAATTTAATTAGAAATCCTGACAAAAAATTAGCAGATTATTTAGGTGAAGAAGGAATAGTATGGAAGTTTTATTCCCCCACGGACACCTAATTTTGGTGGACTATGGGAATCTGGAATAAAATCCGTGAAATATCACTTAAAGCGGATTGTAGGTAATGCAAGGTTGACTTTCGAGGAGTTATTAACTGTAGTAACTCATATAGAGTCTGTTTTAAATTCTCGCTCCTATTACTCCCTTATCTTCCGATGTAAATGATTTAGAGGCATTAACACCAGGCCATTTTCTCATTGGAAGACCCTTGAATGCTATAGTAGAACCCGAATTAATTGATATACCTGAAAACAGACTCTCAAGATGGAAACGAACTACCAGATTTGTCCAGTTGATATGGAATCGTTGGCATAGGGACTATTTAAACACACTACAACAGCGTTCAAAATGGAAGGTAGAACAAACGAATATTAAAATAGGTATGCTAGTACTAGTTAAGGAGGATGAGCTTCCTGTCTGTAGAGGGGTGTTAGGGCGCATTACAAGAATTTTTCCTGGAGTTGACGGTAAGGTTAGAGTAGTAGAAATACAGACAGCAAAGGGCATCATTAAGCGTGGAATTACAAAAATTGCAATTTTACCCCAAGAAGAAGCTTCCTAAGTTAGTTAAGTGTTAGCTTATTATTATAAAACTTGTATTGTACATTGTATTGTGCACAAAATTTTGTATTGAAAATTGAATATTATTATATTGAATTAAGAGATGTTATTCGTATTGCATTATTGTATAAGGTAGTAATTGTACAATTTTGTAGGTTATTATGAGTATTATCGTACGAAATTATTGAAGTAACCCTTCAATGCCGGGGGTATGTTAAGTCATTAAGACTATTTAACTGTAAGATTACGTCATTTTTTCTCTTCTTGGCGCCTTGCATCGCGCAGATAGATGTTCATTACAGCAACCCTGTAAACGCTTACTCAGTTTTATTTTTTTATTGCTGTTGTTGTTAGTAGTAAGTCATCGCTTGAAAGATGGCACGCATTTGATTAAAGTTGTCGAATAAAATATTTAGTACAGTCCACTTCTAGTTAATTTGAAATTGTTGTATAACAACGCATGCATCGCATGAACAATACTTTTTAAAAATTTAATAGGGCCAGCTTTTCAAAATTAAATTTTAAAAACTGATTTAAAGGGGCACTAATTCTTAGTTTAAAAATGAAACTTTTATTTTTTTATTTTCTGGTGAGTATTATTTCAGAATCACATTTAAAAAAATTGTCCTCTGTAGCTTGTCTCTGTCTCCATATGAACTCAAATAAGAAAGAAGGCAAGTGATGATAAACTGTACAACATTGTCATTTATTTTTTCATTCTGCTGATCTCCACTTATGCTCATCATTTGTTGTTAAATGTTGTAGATAAAATAAAGACCCACTGTTAGAAGCAATAGTCTTTGCAAAATTGGAGGAAGAATGACAACTAAAATAAATACACTACCAAACAAAAAAAAAAAAAAAAAAGAAGAAGAAGAAGCTGTGATAGAATATATCATTAGAAGAATATGAAATAAATAATAATAATACTTTTTGAAGCACTAAATTGATTAAAAGGTGCAATAAGAAAACAATATTTACAAAGCTCTTATCCCAGATTAAATTAATTTGGGACAACTGATATTTTGTGCAACCGTTCTGCGTCTGTTACACACTGCAAATTAATCAGCTATGTGGATTGTAGCAGGATACACATACATGCAATTACATATACATTCCATAAACAATTTAGCTATAAACATGTGTATAAACATAAAGCTATTTAAAACATGTGCATAAACCAATTATACGCATGTTTTAAATGATGATGATGATAAAAAAAGTCTCTATGCTGATATCATTTGGCTGAAAAATGTTTCCAAAGCAGTGAAACAATTATACACATCTTCAAAATAAGGTAAAAAAAATTGTTTTAAACAGGTATTTGTCCCCAAAATATAAATGTATGATAAGCTCTAAATGCTATACAACATCTTAATCTTCTCTTAATCATGCAGGATTGAATTAACTCCAAATGTTATACAATTGTTACACTTTTCCAAAATATATGTAAGCATTCATTTCATTGGAATTCAAACTCTGCCATTTTATGCCATTAATATTATCTTAGTATCACAGAGCCTATATGTGTAAAATTATACAGGTATTTTTAATTCACATGATTCAGAATATAGCAAAAAAAGTAAATACTACCACTTTCATTCTGTAGCTAAAAGCTGAAGTTACCTATTTATTTATATTATTATTTGAATTTGAATTTTAAAATATTACTACGATGTTTCAAAACCATGCAGGATGTTTACTCCGTCCCTCTATTAGGAGAAGTTATATGCAGAAAGTACAGATACCATCTATTAATGATGTTTTACTTTAAAAAAGGATTGAAGTTTATGTTGTGAATAAAGTTTCAAGAACATAGGACGTGCTGAAAAAATCTAATTATTAGCCATACATTGTAAATTTCCTAGTCTTAATCACATGAATGCCATGGTAATGTGCATGTTGAATAATACAGCATAGCAAACAAGGAATAAAAGTAATCATGGAAGAGGATTTTAGAAAATTACTGTCATTAGAAGTACATACAAAGAATAGAAAATAATTAGATACTACCTTCAGATTTATATAAGGTCTTTAATATGGGCTGTTTTTCAAAAATAAATTTTTTAAAAATAATGTTGATATGTTGATTTTTTGTTTAAAAATAATAATTTTTTATTTATTTGGATCTGTCCTTACAGCAAAATAAAGAAAATAACATTTGAAAAGCATAAGTTGATTCAATGATTCAATTCTATTTATCAATGTATAAAGTTTGAAGTAAAATTAATTCCACGCGGTTTGGGATGGACCAAAGTTTGTGGACCTGGATTGCACAAAGTTATTGTAGACAACCAGTTTCAGTTACTAATTTAGCACTGCTTGGATGGTCATGATGATAAGTCTCTGTACTGAATATTTGACTGGCTGAAAAATGAATATAACTTGCATGATTTCCAAACAGGAGGAAAAAGACATACATCTTAATTTCAAAAGTAAATAGAGCATTAAAATTATTCTATGTGGATGACTGTCCTTAAAATAGCATAAATGACAAATCATCAAGATAATGTTAGTATCTTTAACTGAATTTAATCTCAGTTAAGATAAATTTAATGCATATATATATATATATATATATATATATATATATATATATATATAGCAATGAAACTGTGGCTAGATGACATGACATGAATGATATGATTGTGAATGCGGTACAAACTTGCATTAAAATGTCCGATGAAACAGGATTTTCCCCCGATTCACTGTGAACATAGCTTAACAAACCTGTGTATAATTTTTCATAATTAGAACTGGCCAAAGAATTTAATGGCAGAACAATTTTGGAGGCATTGAAATACGAACACTGAGACGTAGATGTCTAGAAATACTAACTGCATAGATACTTGATGCTTAGAGCATCCATCCAGAAGAAGCAGTTGAGCCGGATTAAATTCCTTTTATTTATTTAAATTCCCATTTTGTGGCCACAATTCACTTGGCACTCTACTCGTGCCTATTAAAGAACATTTACAATTTTGATATTATTGCCATAGAAGTGAATATAGCAGCACACACATCATTGCAGAAAGGCTTCTGGCCAGGAGGAAAGCACAAGCAAAAGTGGCGCATCAGTTCATTGAAAGAAGGGAGTGAGTCAGAAGTTTCAGTTTTTAGTTTTGGTTTACAATTCAGTGACTGGTCAAGAGGCATCTGCATTAAGGGTTACGAAAGATGGCATGATTAATTTTAATGAAGCAGCTTAGACTTAAGCGCTATTTTTAGAATACATAGATGAAGTTCCCAAAGGAAATAGAAAATAAAAGAGGTTAAAGTGAATAAAATTTATAAGTTTGCTTTCATATTTTTTATCTTACACACACACACACATATATATATATATATATATTATTTCTAGCAGTAACACTTGATATACATCATTAACCAGAGTGAAAATGCTCAGCTCAAACACACAAGGAGAAACAACTAACCAAAAACGTATAAAAAGAAAGTAGAAACATCAAACGGTTAACTGTAAATAGACAATCATGTCAATAACAAAAGTCAATTGGTCTTTAATTGATTTTTGTTAAATTTCATAGATAAAAAACTTATAAATTTATATTTAGCTATACTTCGTATTTTAGAACAAAAATTTTCAAAATCTTGAATACATACTGAAGAAGTTTCACTTGCTGGAGAAATGTGTACAACATCTGCAGTTATTCCACACTGGTTTAGAACATATTTTATACATGAAGTAGCAACAGTATCATTTTCTGCTTTCGAAGTTAGCTATTAAAAAGACTGAACAGAATAAATAACAATGCAAGTGAAAACAGATAGCAAAATTTTCACAAATACATATGAATAATCTTATCACAATAAATCAGAGACATTTAATTTATTTTCCCATAATATAGATTTTCATCTATACTGAACATTAAGGCAGTCAAATTTATGACTATCCCAAATGCATATTTGTGGAAAAAAAACTTTAAAAATCATTTAACAATCTCAAAATAAAACTTGCAACTATCTCTTAGACAGACGAACAAATGCATTTTAAGGTGAACAGGAAATGCATGCTAATATAGTATATAAGGTGCTCTACCACCGAGTTCATTTAGACTATATATCTAGTAGTACTGTTTTCTGACAAGAATGTTTTAGAGGTCTAACTGTTATCATACCAAGGAAAGAATTCAACATAAATCACATTCCAGCCTTTGGGAAATGAGGTGGTTTTACCTCAAACTAACTAGTAAAAAGGTCAAAATAATGAAAAGGTTATGTGATACTACTAATAATGTCAAATATCATCCAATATGATGCTTATAACTATCATAAAAGCAGCTGCAGGCTTTGCCAACTTTCCAAAATGAAAGTTTAATACATACATTATAAAATTTCCAATAGTTGTAATTCCAAATAGAAAAAATTCTGTTTGGAAATAATACACATTATAGATCAGTAGCTTCACATAAAATTGCATTATAAACTTCATATAAAAATCTTTTACAAATGAAAAGAAATTAAATGAAAACAGAAACATAATTTAAGAAGTAAATAGCAAGAGTACCTCTGCAATGAAATGTGACTAAACGTATTTTATACTTTTCTTTTATTCACACTTAATATAAATAAACTTTACTCATGTTTCATATAAATGTAATTGTCAGTACTATATGAAGTGTAAAAGCATTCATGGGAAACTTTAGATAAAATAATTTTTCAAAAGTATTACTTGTATCACTGCTACAGTTGGTTGAAAACTAGGATGTTGCTCCTTAAGATTTACCAGTTCATTCTTAAGGCTGGTTACAAGAGGCCTAAGAATAAATGAATTACATATATTGTAATTTAAAACAGCAAACACAATTTTAATTAAAAATAATTTTGCATTTATTCAATAGTATATAAAAGCAAGCAAAAGTAGCTTTACTATATGTCAACTTTGCAATTTTGATCCGAGATTTAGCAACTGAATTGAAATTATTGTAATAACAAGTTCTACCAATCTCTATGCCAATTTCTGAATGGAAAGAAATGATATGTTCATTCATATTTTATACAAGCGTCACAAATTTGTGCAGTTGTTTAAAATTTGCCGGTAATTAAAAAACTGGTATTAAAATTCTCATAATGGCAAAAATGACTTGGAATTAAATGTAATACACTACAAAAAAAATTTAAATACTATTTTAAGAAATGTTTTTCCTATTATGCAGCTACTCTAATGGAACTATCTGACAAACTGCACTCTATTTTTACTGAACTATTTTTAGAATTAATTATTAGTAGAAACTTAAAGATGTAGTAGTAAAAACTCTAGTAGATGCTTAATGTGTTTTAAGCATCGGTTAATAAATATTTTGATTACAGTCTTATACCAATGCTCCTTAGGACTAAAAAATATAGAAATCAAATACAATAGTATACCATGAGATACATATCCAGTTTTTAGATTTGGATTAGATTATTTGAATTTGATAAGCATATTTAGGGACATTTCTAGACAATAAATTAACAAAGCCCTAATAAAATATAGAAAAATGGGAAGTATAAAGAGCCGGTAAAAAATGATCAGAGTAGAATACATATATTATACAGCATTCACAATAATTCTTAGAGCTTAAATCTAAAAAAAAAACTAAATTTTTTATTCATTACTTTCATTACTACTCAAGCAAAAAAATTCATCTGATACATTTTGTTTCTGTGTTAATACTGTAGTGACAATATTCATATTTGCATTTAATTTATTAAAAGTTTAACAAATTACAGTTCATCAGCATAGGTCTAAAATATTTAGTAATTACATTTTGATGGACTATGTTATTAAAACAACAAAAATATCAATATTTTAATACATGCATCTTTTGAAAATGGCTGTAATCTTTTTACTGGACTAACATCTTATCAACCAATCAGAATTTCATCTATTGATTCTGACAATCTAAGTTACTCATTTAATATTGAGACATTTATCTGGTAATGTGGTATCACTTGCAAAACATAACTACTGTATGTTACAAATTGCGAACAACCTCCTTATGTGTAAAAAAAAAAAGGTCAAGGTAAAAATCTGAACTTTGATGTCACTGATACTGCAGAATAAGAGCTATTATTCATGTGGGAATGAAGATAAGATAATATGAAGTTAGATGTTATTTATTACTGAAGGAGTAAATGCTCAGAAAAATGAATGAAATAAATGTGATAAGAACAAATAATTTTATCTTTAATTAAAATACATACACACATAAAGATTAAAAGATAAAAAGTTCAGAGATTAAATGAATTCATGATATAAATGCTTTATTAGCTTTCAAAACCTTTTACAATTAATAATAGCAATTTATTATAATTAGTTATGAAATCTGTGTATTACATTTTCCATAAAATTTGAAATAAAAATCATTATCATTAATGTTTATGCATGTAACTCACTCATTACCAAAAATTTTTAAAAGCAACTTTCCATATTACAAAATTCTTTGGACAGACAAATTTGCAAATTTCTAGATTGAGTAAGCAATTCTGCTTTTACCCTTTTTATGAAACAATACATAAATTTGGCTAATATTTGCATAAGATATTGATGAAGCAATAACTTTTATAAACAATACAACTAATGTATTCCATTTCAGAACTAAATAATGTTATATGGCAATTTAGCTGCCAATAAATCCTAACATGAAGCAATACTTTAAGCAGTATTAAAAAGCATCAATATATTTTTTAAAAAATTCTATACCCATTATCGGAGAAAAGTAATATACAGTCAAAAGTCTTTAATCCGGACTCATCGGGACTTCGCCGATTCCGGATTATCGATTTTTCCGGATTATAGATCATCAGTTTAAATCTGGTACGAAGGCATGCAGAAATTATAAAATTAAAAATATCAAACCGTAATTTATGAAATAAAGAGCAAGTATGATCTAAAGGGTATCAAAATTTACGAAAAAAAAAAAAAAAAAGCTTAATATTTATTTGTTTACTTTATTAAACATTTCTTTCAAAGCGCACATGCGTAAAGCATACATTATGCATAGTTGAAATTAGAAAATTGCAACCAGAAAACTATTTGATGTGTATTCGTGATATTTATAATGACGACGAATTTGATTTAACTCATATCAAAGACGGAGTACATTGAGATGAAATACTCAATTTAGTAAGGAATTATAAGCCGAATAAAATAAAAACATCTGCCCTGAAGATAAGGATAGTGCTGACAGATCAACTTCCAGTTCATTACGCGCCACGGCATCCCCCCCCCTCCCGCAGAGCAAAACTGATGAACAGATTTCGGGATGGTTAGAGAAACAAAAGATATGCCTTATCCATTTTTTGCAGCAATTCCACTTTTTGTTTGATGTACATCAAAGCACGCTTTTGCTTTGTAGATCCTTTGGCAGCTCCAGAATCGGAAATTCTTTTTGACATAATTGAAAGTTCAAGCTTACTTTTATAAAATTGCTCTAACAGTCTGCAAAAAATAATAAGCCGGATCCAATTCGAAGATTAAGGAACAACGCAATCTCCAACATTAACTGAAATAGATAATTAGAGAATTTTAGCTTAGCTTATACCGTTCGTTATACATTAAACGCGCATGCGTAAATGCACATGCAGAAAAGTTTGTAGCTTTGAGGTCCGGATTATGGACGTTCGGATTAAAGACTTTTGACTGTAGTACAAAATTTGAGACCCAGAATCCTGGAAACTACAGGATTCAGGATTTTGGAAATTTTTAGATTTTTGATCCTCACTTTAACCCATCTGACTGGCATGACTGCCTTTATTTAGTCATGAGATTATTTTGTCTCTGGGTGTATATTAAGTTATAATTTTAAAAGTTTAATTATATTAGTTAATAATTTGCTTTCTTATTTTCTTTAATATGTATGTCATCTTAATAAATGGAAGTTTATGAAAACAGAAACTAAAATAAGTAATACAAATTTAGCTATTAAATGTGGGTTCCAATATAAATATTCATGAGCAAATCCAAAAACCCATGTTACTAAGAGAGTTAAATCTAGTATGGCAACTTTGAGTTTATTGTTTAGGTCAGGAAAAAAAATTTTAACCTCCCCCCCCTGGTGTCACTCAAGGGTGGAAAGTGGTCAACATCAGTACAGTGTCAATAAGTGCCCTATCAATGGTACGATTCCCTAGCCAGCATGTGTCTGAAAGTGGCAAGCTGGAATTTAAGGAGACTCCTCCTTTTTGTTGAATATTATATTCTCCATTCCTACACTTTGTGCTGTATTTAGATTTACATCTAATTAAAAAATATATCCATTTTGACAAATAACTGAAAAGCTTTGTTATCACATAGCACCTCTTTCTAAATACACTGATTGGTATATTACTGTATCTAGTAATATACCAATCTGTACTTCTATCTATTTTTACTAACTTCAGTTTTGTATTTAAATCAACTTATAATGGTTGTATTGTTGAGTGTATTACGTTGCTTTCAGGACAAGAAAGATGAAAAATTAGCAATGCACTCATCGTTCGAACTCTGAATCTTGTAACTTCTAGCCAAACATGCTTCCAATTACATTACAAAGATATACATAAGGAAAGAGGCATTCTTCCCATAGACATAATAGACTTAAGCCAGTTGGAGAATGAGAAAAAGTGAGAAGAGGAAGCTAAATGCAAGTGGTCATAAATTATCATTCCCCACATTTTAGTCTTAGCATCATCTGTAATGTAAATCAGCAATGCCTTCATCAGGATTTGAGTTTTGGACATCCTGACTAATAGCTAGATGTGCTTCCAATTATACCTCAAAGGCATACAATAAAGAGGGGAGAAAAATCCTTATAATATAATCAAACAAAGAATAATTTACAAATTTATTAGTTCTCAGCAGTGAAAAATTACTACAAATGATATTTTTTAATTAAAAAAAAAGTGAAAAGAATCCACAGTAGCACCTTTCTTACTGAATAAGAGCTACACTCATTGTTAATATTACTATAATAAATTACACACTTTTCATATTCTTCAAACATAACTTACAGAACTATACTCAAATTTGGTAAAAAAAAAAAAAAAAAAAAAAATCTTGATGTTAAAAATTAGGCTTTCTAAACATGAGATAAAGAATGCAACTACTGATGATTTATTATATATTCTGCCTGTATTTACCTTAAAAAATGCAAATTATCATTAACTGCTAAAAGGCTAAAGCTTATTAAAGTATCTCTTAGCTTTTCATTCCTAAGTTTCAAACAAATTAATCAATATTTTTGCTTTATGCTAAGATTATTTTTTAAAGTTGAATATACAAGATATGACATTTAAAATATTACAATATCATGTCACATGATGTTATCATAATTTTCTCACTGATTTCTTATTGATCTATGATATTTGCATAATGCTTGCCATTAAATTTGTCAATCATTCTAACAAATGTTACATAATATCCAGCGAATAATTAAAAGACCATACTATATAATTAACCCTTTGTAAAGACTTCTCCACATTTAAGCAATTAAATGTGATATTTTACTTAGTAGGAATCTTAAAATTAAAAAATTAAATATGAGAAGCATGTAAATAAAATATAAGTTTGCACTACAATTAAAACGTATTCAAACCTTTTAAAATGATTTATACATGCTTGTTTCATTTAACTTCTAATGAAAAAAATTCTTTATGTTTATTTTATTTAAATACAAATTTGATCTTGTATAAAAATTCCTTCCCCCCCCTCTCTTCCTTACTCTTTTTCATTTTTAACTGTTGAATCTGAAGTACCTACGCAAATAACTTTAATACAAATAACTTTAAAACATACTTTTTTTTTAGTGAATATCTGATCTCATCAACAAGTAGTTAAGCAATTAAATGAAAGTTTATATATTTCGAATTGTTGTACCACTTTTCTCATCCAAAACAGGCATATAAATTAAAACAAAATAAAATTTCTCACTGGATTTTGTCAAATATAGAAGCCTCCATTTCTAGCTACGCCAGTGTAATTCAAAGAGATTGAACAACGACTTCTTTTTTTTTAATAAGCTGATGTAAGTAAACAAAATAAGCCGGTCACATGAGCATTAATAACAGCAGCAGACGACGCTGGGTTACTGCATATCAGCTGATTGCTGAATGATAGTTGAAGTTTATACCACCAGAGAGAGCACTTCCCAGCCTTCCAAAGAAAGGCTGATTCTCTAGCGGCAAGTAGCTGACATAAAAAAAAAAAAAAAAAGGCCGTGCTAATAACGGTCTCGTTCCAGCACTTTAATAAGTAGCGTAAAATGTGAACAATATCAATTAAGAAAGGAAAATATTTATTTTGTATATTTTAATATACTTTAAAAGAGAAAAAGAAATCCAAATTTAAGTCCCATAGTTTATCATTTTCTTCTAAATTTTTTTGTTAGTGCTTCAGAAGCAAACTAAAGAAACTTTGATAAATATTAATGACGAATAATCATAATTCTATATAATAATTATTATTTTTTAATATTTAACAAAGATTCCTCTATTCTTTATTATACTTCTTTATAATGAAGAATAGAGGGAATAACTGAATTGTGAAAAAACAATTCCCTTCAGGAAATCGGCCCGTTATCTTTTCTTTAAAGTGATTAAATTAAAAGTGATTAATCTTTAAAGTGGTTACCTTTGCCGAATAATCTTCGGAGGCGCCAGTTTGACTCCTTTAAGGATGTGGGCGAGACTTTATTATGAAGTGAAAAATATATTTGTACTGTATTAATGTACAGTACTGACTTAATACCCAAATTCTGTTTTCGAAAACTCTCAAATACCGTGATAAATTAGTTTAATGGAACTTTTATATAATTCGGATAACAGGGTTGTAATCCTAATGCATGAGAATTATAACAAACTAAATATCAAATATGAATACGTATTTCATACTGGTCTCAAAGCCTAACTTTATGGGTAAAGAAATATAACTCAATTATATCATAATAAATTAAGATTTTCAAGGTCTGTTGAAGAACTGAAGAACAAATTAGCTCAGTTGAGCAAACAGATGTACTTTCTCTCTCTCGGGGCTACAACATCATTGAATTCCTCTCTACTCAGATGTTCACTATCTATTACTTTAGTTTCTCTAATGATTAGACCTAAATGTAATTTTTATGCTTCTGGGAAAATTAATTTAGGTTTTTTCTGTAACAAATATTACTAAATTTATTACAGCATGTTCGCGCGCAGTGTGAGATAGCATTATTCATCAATAATGCAGGCTAAACAAAAACTAATCAACAATTTTTACAGGTACAGAACACTATAGTGGATACTGATTTGACGTTTTTTTACATAGTAGTTGTGGAGCTAATTTTGAATTTTCAAGTTACTTAATTTAATTTCACATACACTGAATTCGTTAAAATGTTTAGAAATTTATATATGTTCAATTATGTGTTTTTAAATAACAACGTTGGAGAGACAGAAGTAAAACTTAAAATTTAAGTTATGAAAGTAACTTAGGGTAGGGGTCTTCAACCCGTAGCTCGCAGAAGGCATTTTATGGCCCCACGTTTAATTTTGAATAAAGCTTGAAGAATTTTAAGAAATTTTGATTTCAAGAAAAATTTCCTTGTCAGCTTTTTATCGTAATTTTTTTTTCTCTTATTCTTGATATTTAAAATATTTTATTAACCTGCCTGATATTATTTGAGATAAAATTTTCTGAAAATGGTGAATTTTTCAAAAATTTCACTTTATCTTATGTAATTTTAAAACTGAGAAGTAAATATTAAAGGTAAGCGTAAAAATATTCTTAAGATGTATTTTTCTCATAATGAAATTTTCGTGATTATTACATTTTCAAAATGCTCCATACGTTTTAGTTTATGTTCAAAATGATTTTAATTTGCAACTTACATTCTAT